GGGAATCGCAGCTCGTCGATGACTACCCGCCGCGAAGCTCAAACATCCGTTTTCCTTTGTCGCATCCTCTAGCGCATACCAGAAGCCGACTGCACTTGGTGGATCGGTATACAAGAACGTGCTATCTTGATGTGGCGGTACTGCTCCACCAATCTCAGGTTGTTTGCAGATGACCATGGACTGAAGTACGCGTGGGTCGCGGAATGAAAGGGACTTCGCGATGGCAGCGTTGCGCTCTGACAGTGAAATGGCGCAAAAAGAAGGCGATAACTCGTGGAGATAGTGTCCGATCTTGTTGATAGCGAGATGTTTGGGTTTGGTCAAGTTCCCGGACTTATCAAAGGCATCTTATTTGTGTCAACAGTAATACCCACCACAATGCGACCAGCTTTACTTACCCTCTTCAAAGAAAAACCGTGCCTTGTCTCCAGATTCAAGGAAATATGAATCGCCTACATGGTCTGCACCATCGTCACCACCCGTCGAGAACTTTGTCATAGGATGGTCGTCCAGCGAAAATTCGTTCAACATCGTATTTATATCTTCCAGCAACAGCTTCACAGTATCTTGAGAAAGTGCCTCTGGTATCAGCAGATAGCCATTCTCGTTGAAGAATGCGACCTGTTCGGGCGTGAGCCCTTGCGCTGTCTGTACTGCCATGGTGGCTCTTGGCGTATGTTCAGATACCGGTGTTGTGGTGAAGGAAACTTGAAGCAGGCCTGAACTGTGAGAGCCATCGCATGTTCAAGAGCCTCGGAACATGGCAGTAGTCGATGCCGTTGACAAGCGTCGGAGATGGCCGTAGTCTGGCACGATATAGCACAAAGCTCACACTTGCCCCGCCACTGCCCCTCATTCAAAGGTCTTGGAGCTCGCCTACGGTCCAAGAAACCTCACACCACCCGAGATGACATTTGTAATAGCAACAGCTCATTCCAGTTGCCCAAGTTATAGCCAATTTGGGTGCGTTACCCGCATAATCTTGACGCTTCATCTCATCTTCACTTCCTTTCAGCTCTTTGATGCCGACACGGTGTTGCTTGACCGCCTGCTATTCTGGCGCCCTGCACATTCCATTCCGCCGCACTTCCATATGCCTCATCCTTCCTCATTTCTACGAAGAAGTTCCTTTCTCTGAAATCTCTCCATCTCTCGCGAAGTGTCCTTCTTTTGCGATGGGCTCGTCTTTGAGCGTCCAGATCGTCATATGGTGAAGCAAGGACCGCAGAAACAGTAGCTGCCGACACAATCTCATGATGCTGAGGTTCTGACATTTGATGTATCCTCTTTACCTTAGCATCTGCAGGTGATGCAAACTGAGTTTGTGTAGACAGCTTGTCGGCATATCGTGGCGGTTGACTTGACGGTTCAGAATCGTAGTAGACTGGTAAATCTGTTTTGGCACCCATTGTAGGTCGTGTGGAGTTTTTATCGATCGGAATATGGCCTTCTTTTATTCTTTCATCTTTCAAATTGAGCGCCATGGCATGGTCGAGTTGTGCTTATAACAAAGGCAGTGTCATGGCCACGGTGGCAAAAACATTGCTTTCCGTAAGCGAGAGACGTGACCTCGATCCTAGACGCTAAATTGCTCCTGATTGCAGGGCACAGTGTCATTGTAAGACAGGGAATAGATAATCATGGAAAGAGAAGTATGTATAACATGTCACTATCGTACAGCAATATTGCTAACGCATATCAACATGTTTCTAGGAGACCTCAACCCTTCTCTCCGCCTCTCTTCCACATCTAGAGTTCCCTAACTTCTGTAAACACTCCTAGGACTCAGCTGTGTTGCATTCAAACCCTTAAGCAAGCTTCTGGCCGGCCCGAAAGTTGACATTAAAAGTCCACATGACATTCTTCAAGCTTTGGATATTTTAATTGCATCACTCCACCCAAGAGCACGGTATGTAATAATACGCGAAGGCGCAGATAAAGATAGTTCTCCTCCAGAAATGACTGGCCCAAAGAATGGACGACTGGTCACTGGCCAAATGGCCTTGCGCCCTCGGCACTACGACTTGAGTTGAACACTAGGCTAGAGTCATTGACAGATTTACAGCCTCGTCCTCGAGAATTTCGGTGCGGCATTACATGTCGGATGCTGCCATAATCGCACCACATGAATTATTTCCAAAGGGACACTGAGTGAGTTTCTACCATGGCCTCTTTTCCTCGGTAATCCCTTTTCACTATCAGAAGCGTTTCTATCATACAGTCAATATCTAGAAAGCCCAAGCGTAGAGACTTCTTGAAAACTTTACAGAAAACTTCATCTGGCATATCACTGTCCTATTTTGTAAGGTTCATTGACGGGCAAGTAGAAAATCTACGGCTCTGAGATTAGCACCAAGGTAGCCGTGGAAAAGACTTGCCCGTGGTATCTAATCTGACAGCAGGATCAAATGCTTGCCTTATTCGAGAATTTTCAGATCATGTTCTTCCGTGCTTGGGCTTTCAAAGTCGCCATCTCGATCGCAGGATAATAGTAAAAGCAAACGACCTTCTGATTATAACAACTCTTTGAACGAGCGCTTAACTACCCAATATTTCCCACGTACGGAGAAGTACATAGCGTCAATTCCCCTCTTGGACTGCACACCTCGGAGAGACGTACCGTGGCCCGAATTACTGTGAGAGACACCAAACAGCCAATGCCAATGTAAGTAAGGACGGATCTGATACTGTGTACATGATGCATCATCCATCAGGCACACGTCAGCGATTATCCAACATTCTTCCAACGCTGCAGCTACGCTTCGCCACGCGAGGCATACTCGATTATTCTGCGCCTCTATTTGTTCGCTTATGCGAGCGACGCGCGGGAGTATCCACGTCCAGGCGCCAGGCTTAGGTACAGATTACCCGAGATCTCACTTGCAGAATACTATACTTGACTCTATACATCGAGATGTTACCTCTCGGTGTATCTGTATGCATCAAGGCCACCACTTCGCCGATTACCTGCCCTAAGCATGTCATTCCGCGCCATGCATCTAGCTTTCCAATGCCTTGCTTGGCCTATTTTGGATGGAGAGAATCTTGAACGTCGTATATGCAAGTAAGACTTCCATGTTGTAGTATCCCTTGCAATAGGAACACATCTTGATCACGCACTCATTGGTTGCTCTTTTACGACCATATCTTTCACCTAGGTCAGTCAATCTAAGGCCGTTTGCCGCGCTAGACCAGGCAACTGCGCAACACCGCCACTTGAGTTAGCTTGGAGCGTTTGGTCGCCTTCGCTTCTTAAATACCTCAATATATCTACGCCTACAAAATTTCTGAAAGCTATAGAGCAGTTAATCTGTTCCAGCGACACATTGCTCCATCAGCTTCAACGAATCATTCCGCGATTATCTGAATCAAACAATGTCTAACAGTCACTATACGGGTCTAGGAAATGAAAATAGAGAAGTGACTACCACAGTTGCACAAGACGACAAGTTCGGACCTATTGCGGTCATCGGATTCGCACACAAACTTCCTCAAGATGTGACATCTGCCGATAGTCTGTGGAAGCTTCTTGTAGAACGCCGGACCACGGTGACTGAGGTTCCAATGAACCGGTGGAACATAGATGGCTTTTACAGATCGCATGGTAGCCGACCAAGTACTGTAGGTTGACTCCTCCAACGCTCCATGACACCACTGAGACCGATATAGGTAAAGAATCGAGGAGGCCATTTTCTCACAGATGATCCGGGGCGATTTGACGCACCTTTCTTTTCGATAACACCAGCTGAAGCTGAGTGTATGGACCCTCAACAGAGATTCCTACTCGAGACGAGCTACCATGCACTGGAGAACGGTATGCAGCAAGCTTTCCCTGAATTTATTTTGGCAGTTGACTGACGGAAAATCAGCGGGAATTCCAATGGAGGCTGCAATGGGTTCGAAGACATCTGTGCATGTTGGTTGTCTACTCCAGGAGTACAGTCAGATTTCACAGCGCGATGCCATGCCAGGTACTTATCAGATCATTGGTTCCAGTGGTTTGGCTATGTTGGCAAATCGAGTGAGCTGGTTCTACGATCTCAAAGGACCAAGTATGACGATCGACACGGCTTGCTCTGGCAGTCTTGTCGCTTTGCATCTGGCATGTCAAGAGCTGAATGCAGGCTCGGTTAATATGGTATGTTCGACTTCACAGGCGTTATCGTCATTTGCTAAGAAGTACAGGCGTTGGCATGCGGAAGCAACCTTTGCTTGCTTCCAGATTCATGCTCGTTGCTGAGTCAACTGAATATGATGTCTCCAGATGGTGTGTGTCATAGCTTCGACGAGCGCGCCAATGGCTATGCAAAGAGCGAGGGATTTGGCGTTCTGGTACTAAAGCGATTTTCTCAGGCGGTACAGGATGGAGATACCATCCGCGCCGTCATTCGAGCAACTGGATGCAATTCAGACGGCCGGACACCAAGCATCACATCACCAAGTCAGAAGGCGCAAGAGAAGCTCATCCGGGAAACCTACCATCGTGGAGGGCTCTCTCTTGATGAGACGCGATTCTTCGAAGCTCACGGTACAGGAACGCCTGTCGGCGACCCTTGCGAAGCTACTACTATCAGTAATGTGTTCGCGGTGAGGACCAAAGCAGACCCCATGTATGTCGGCGCACTCAAGTCCAATCTCGGTCACTCAGAGGGTGCAAGCGGCGTTGCGGGTGTGATCAAGGCCATACTCGCTCTGGAAAAAGGCATTATACCACCAAATGTGTACCCAGAAAGGGTGAATCCGATCATCTCATCTACGTGTCGGAATCTGCATTTTCCTTTAACCTCAATTGATTGGCCGACCATGGGAGTTAGACGTGCGTCGGTGAACGCTTTCGGCTACGGTGGCACAAATGCACACGTTGTTATTGACGACGCTCTTTCATTCTTCGAAGCGAAAGGATTGAAGGGCCGCCATAATACGACAAGGCTCAAGTCAACACTCGGCCAAGACCTGTTACTAAACGGGAGAACCAACCGGATGTCGAGACATGACTCCATGACTGAAGATCGAATTTGCAATACACAATTGGCTAAGTTTGCAAAATCCACCTACAAACTCCTCGTACTTTCTGCGTTTGACGAGAGCGCAGTGCACCGATCGATCAAAACCCATTCGGAGTGGTTACGTAGCCAACAATCACATAGTGATTCAAGAGTGGACGTGTCAGATCTTGCACATACCTTGTCGCATAATAGAACATCGTTTCCATGGAGGTCTTTCTGCGTTACCGGATCGGAGACTTTCTTTGACAACGTATGGTCGACGCCGATTAGATCCAAGCAGAGGATCGATTTATGTTTTGTGTTCACCGGACAGGGTGCTCAATGGTACGGGATGGGCCGTGAGCTGATGAAGTACAGCATCTTCTATGAATCTATGATAGAAGCCGATCGCGTCTTCAGCTCTCTTGGAAGTGAATGGTCCATGATGGGTAAGTCAACTACTTAGTGAGTGGATATACTCCAAAGCCTAACATGGTGCAGAGCAACTGTATCACATTTCAAGGGACGATACTTTCATAGATTCTCCAGACCTGAGCCAACCCATTTGCACAGCTTTGCAAATCGCAATGGTCGAGCTTCTAAGATCATGGAACGTCAGGCCTTCGACTGTCCTCGGACATTCTTCCGGTGAAATTGCGGCTGCATACGCCAACGGTGCTATTTCGAAAGAGTCTGCTTGGATGATCGCCTACATGAGAGGATTGGCTGTAGTCATCATTCGTGATATCCTACAATCAACAGGAGCCATGGTAGCCGTGCCAGCTACCCTCGAAGCCATATCTCCCTTACTTAAACTCCACAATAGGACGTATCCTGCGGATCGCGTCAGTATTGCATGCTACAACAGTCCATCAAACCTCACTATTTCGGGGTCGCACGCTGCCGTGGATCAACTAATATCTAGGCTTGTGGAGCGAAACATCACATACAAGGTCCTGAGAGTAGACGTAGCTTATCATTCTCATCACATGAGGCCGGTTGCGATTGTGTATGACAAACTACTGAGAAGTATTACTCCAGGCCAGCAGCACGGTGTTGGCTCGACGTTCATTTCCACAGTCACGGGCAAAGCCCTCGAAGATGCTTCTATCTTAAGAAAGCCGTCTTATTGGATCGAGAACCTCACAGCCCCTGTTAAGTTTTCACCCGCGATGATGAAGGCTTCCAGTGACTTCATACTTGAGATTGGACCACATTTCACTCTTAAATCACCGATTAGAGATATTTTAAATGTGAATGGCAGGGACATACGGACAGACTATTGCTCAGTATTACAACGGGGTTGTTCTGCAGACTTTACGGCAATGGAGTGTGTGGGAAGACTGCATGCCTTGGGCCTCCCAGTTGACATCAGTCAAGTTAACCTAGGTGTGGTTTCCGACGCTAAAATGCTTACAAACCTTCCATCCTACCCGTTCAGTGATAAGACGAAGTATTGGCTTGAAGGAAGAACCAGTAAGCAATATCGCTTTAGAGAGTATCTCAATCACGAGCTTCTGGGAACAAGATCCGACGATTGGAACCCTCACGAGGCACGCTGGACCAACCGTATCATTCTCGATCAGTCTTCTTATCTCTTAGATCATCAGATCAATGGATCGGTCTTACTCCCTGCTGCAGGAATGTTGGTCATGGCTATTGAAGCCATGCGACAACTCCATACTTCTCGAACATCGTTACGGGGATACAAGATGAAAGACGTAACGTTCTCGAATACTATTACGATCACCCCAGAGTCAAATGGGACGGAAGTCCAGCTCACACTTCGACCTTCGCAAGTATCGAAGACTCCCTGGACGAGTGCTCAGCATGAAACGTCTTGGAATATTTTCTCTATCTTCATGTATGAGAGCGCTGGTTGGACCCTATGTTGCTCGGGGGCCATAGCTGTCGAGTACACAAATGAGCACGGTGTTTTGGAGGAAGAATATGATAGGATGAAGTCACATAAGACAGCTTTAAGGCGCTGCCAGGTAGGTGTTAACAGTTCCGACATTTACAGCGCCTTTGAAAAAGCAGGACTAGTCTACGGACCTCGCTTCCAAGCCATGGAAGAGGTAAGAGAACTACGAGGAACTGAGGCCATTGGCAACGTGAATATACACCACTGGAAGCTGCACGATCCAGATAGTCCCATGGACCCGCATCTAATCCATCCTGCGGCACTGGATGCAATACTGCAAATGTCCTTTCCGGCATACTCCATTTACGCAAAGAATGCATCGGCCACAACACTACCGACGGGATTTCGCAGTCTCTGGATATCCGAAAACTTGGCTAATGTTTGCCCAAATTCGAAAGTGTCCGTTCATGCGAGGGTAACAGGTCGAGGCTTCCGAAATAAGATGTTCGGCATTACAGCAGCGTTGGTTGACGAAGAGGAACTGTCTTTCAGTGGAGACATGGAGACAACCACTATCGGCCGAGGTGCTTCCACTACTGATGCAGATGGGTCCGGGGCCAAGATTTTGTACAAAATTGAGGCAAAGCCTGATGTCGACCTCTTACCTCGAAATATCATTGACTTGAAGCCTTCTCTGAGACCTACCCCAGAAAAGGAGTTAGAAATGGCTCTCAAGAAAGAAGCTCTATGTCGCCTAATCATGCGTGACGCTTTAAGCAAACTTCCAGATGACCTTGGTCGTTTACCTGAGTATCTACTCGAGTACATCGATTGGATGAGATCGCAGGCAGTCGATCATGTCATCCTACCACATGAATCCATATATAGTCTCTGCGAACAACTCGAGACTTCAGACACCGAAGGTCGCCTACTCTCTTGGATTTCTAAAAACCTGAATTCGATTTTAGCCTGCGAGACCAACGCTCTTGATCTCTTACTCGAAGACGACGCCCTATCTCAGTTTCATCCTGAAAACTGTGCTGAAAAGCATGTCCTCTCGTATGCTACCAATCACCTCGATCTCCTCGCACACAAGTACCCAAACATGCACGTATTGGAAATTAGCGCTGGTACAGGTTCTACAACATCGCATGTCTTGACTGCTCTCAAGGATCGATTCGCTGAATATGTGTATACGGATACAACGTCTGTTCTTTTCGAGAAGGCCAATGAGCGGTTTAATCTTCGTTCCAAGATGGCATTCAAAGTATTGGATCCTTGTGAAGATTTTGCTGGCCAGGGTTTCGAAGACGGGTCTTTCGATTTGGTGATTACTCCATGTGTACGTACTCATTCCTTACCTCCAACCTTACATTTGCTAACGGAACTTTCTCAGGATCTGTTCACAACTGCCACTTTTCGGGATCGGCTTGCTCGATATCGCAGGCTGCTCCGTCCTCAAGGCCGAATAGTTCTCTTGAACCAACCTCGAAAATCTCTACCGGAGAGATTTATCTTAGGCCTGACAGGAGTTTATACTGAGATTGGCCAAGTTGGATGCTCATCCATCGGAAACAACTACCTTGACCAGATACTCGTAGAGTCCAGTTTCTCGGGTATTGATTTCAGCGTCCAGACTCATGCGCATGAAGACGAGGATGCATTGCCTCAAGTAGTGATCTCCACAGCTGTGAGCTTTCCATCAGACTCGCACCCTACAATTCATGTCATTTATGAAGATTCTTCCCGAGCCCAGATGGATATCTTGGAGGAGATATGCAACAGATCATCATCGCAAGACGACGAAACGATCATCATTGCGGTGCCATGGAGCAATGTCAACAAATATAATCTCAAAGATAGAACATGTATCTTCCTCCCAAGCCTCGACGCTCGCATTCAACCGCTCGAACATATGGAAGACGACACTCTTGAAAGCTTAAAGCAACTCATCTCAATGACCTCTACACTCATTTGGATCAGCACAAACACGCGCAAGCCAGCACGTAGTCCAACTGAAAGTCTCGTCCCAGGCCTCGTCCGCACTCTTGCCACCGAAACCGAAGACAACAGACTTGTAAGTCTGAGTCTCGACATCGACATTGATATTAGTGACCATGCAGCAATGGCAGCATCAGCGAGTCATACCATCATGAAAGTCGCCAGAACCTTTTTACACCCGCGCGCAGTATACGAGGACGAGTATGTGGAAGTCGATGGGGTTCTGCATATACCACGGGTCGTTGACGACAGGGACATGGCAACGCATGTAGCTTTTATACAGCAGCGTGATACGCGCAGTGCCACTAAACCGTGGAAAGAGCTGAAGCGCCCACATTTGAGTATAAGAACCGCGGGGTACTTGGATACATTGTATTTTGAAGAAAGTACGAAGGATGGAAATGACGACGGCAATGGTAACGAAAAAGGAGAAACGGCTCTTGCGTCAGACGAAGTTCTGATACAGGTTAAAGCGGTGGGGTTGGGTGTTCGCGATTTACTTGTCGCACTGGGCCAGGTTCACGACGATGTGTTTGGAACTGACATTGCCGGAGTCGTGGAGCAAGTCTCAGAGCCGAATGACCATGGTTTACGAATTGGCGATTGTGTGTTTGGCGTGGCCAGAGACGGTGTTGCGCAGGTTGTTCGTACCAAGGCGTTCCAGCTGCGACGTATGCCACTCGATATGGACTGGGTTGAGGCTGCGACATACCCTGCAACGTATTGCACTGCGTATCATGGGTTGGTAAATTGTGCTAGGATCAGGAAAGACGATGTTGTTTTAGTCCATCGTGGGGTTGGACGTCTTGGGCAAGCGGCGGTACAGATTGCGCAGCTCTATGGTTGCAGTGTGATTGTCACTGTTGAATCATCTGAAGAGATGGCTTACATGCATGGCGCATATCGAATTCCCAGTTCACATCTACTGTTAACACGCTCAGCAGGCTCGGCGCAGAGCATACGCAAACTGGCGAACGAGCGTGGAGTCGACGTAATCTTCAATCCCAATACTGCAGCAGAGTCTACAAACGACTTATGGGACACCATTGCCCCATTTGGACGCTTTGTCGAGGTCATACGAAGCGATGCATTTACATCTACAGTCAATGCTTCAAATCCACAGCATAAGCAAACAGCAAAGAACAATTGCATATCTATTAGTGTCGACTTTCAAGAGCTCATGCGACATAGCGTCTTCGCTGGCATCTTGCGCGATGTAGGGGACATCATCGATAGTGGTAGATTGTCACATCCATCAGCAGTACAAGTCTTCCATCAAGGTGGAGTAGAAGCTGCGTTTCGAGCACTACAAGATCCAGAAAACCGTTCCAGAGTCGTCATTGAAATGGCAAGCGAGGAAATAATCCAGATGGAGCTTGCTCCTTCTACGAAGTCGCTCTTTGATCCCCGGTCAACGTACTTGATCGTCGGCGCCTTTGGTGGGATTGGAGAGAACGTGACAAGATGGATGGTACAGAATGGCGCGAAGAACCTCATCTTACCCTCGCGATCAGTCGTGGAGGGAACATCTTCGCATCGGGAGTTGTTTGTGCACAATCTCAGAGCTGAAGGCGCAATTGTACAAGTGCCGGTCTGCGATATAGCAAACCGAGCTCAACTTGAAAGAACGTTGGAAGAGTTGAAAGACATGCCTCCGGTTAAGGGGTGTGTGCAAGCAGCAATGGTGCTTCAAGACTCGTCCTTTGCGAATATGACTGCGGACAAGTGGAATGAGGTATTAGCACCCAAGGTAGCCGGGAGTTGGAACTTACACAATCTTCTACCCGATGATCTCGATTTCTTCGTTATGATGTCTTCATCGACGGGCATCATGGGGTCATTTGGACAGTCCAACTACACGGCAGGCAATACGTACCAAGACGAGCTCGCGGCACACCGTGTCAAACATGGACAGCGCGCTGTGGCTCTCGCATTCAGTATGGTTGTTGGCGCTGGCTATGTTGAGCAGAATGCGGCAGTGCAAGCCCTGTTACGTGTGCGTGGTATGCTGGAAGAAGTCACCCTGGATGATATATACAACCTGATGACACTATGTTGCGACCCCGAACGCATGGACGCAGCGCACATTGGACCACAGATCATCACCTCCTTGACCTTGCCAGCGGACCTCCGTGCGATGAATATTGTAGCGCCTCTTGGATCCACACGACCTTTGTACTCATACCTTGACACTCTGCCATCGCGCTTCGACGAGGCTGCACAAAAAGATCTCAAAGAGTCGAAGAAACTTCCTTCAGCCCTTCTCCCCGATGCGACAACATTGGATGAAGCGGTGGCTATCATTACTGAAGCGATTCAGGACCAGCTGTCTAGTCTGCTTGTTGTAAGCAAAGATGATATCGATATCAAGAACGCAGTCCACAAGTATGGCGTTGATTCCTTGGTGGCAGTAGAGATGAAGAATTGGCTTGCAAAGGCTGTGGGCTCGGACATAAGTACGACAGAGATATTGGGAGATGTCAGTATCGATGTGTTAGCTGGCAGAGTGGCTACTATGAGTCGATTTGTGAGTGATGAATTAAAGGGATAAGACATAGGCTTGAAGACCGCTAGTTACCGGTATATGGTTATATCTTTTTTTAATAGATCGCGGACTTCGGGTTAGTTATCCTTTTCTTCCAAAAACTGCTTACAGACTGCAGCACAATCTACATCATACGTGTTTGACCATAGAACATATCTTTCTAGCTCCCCAATCGTGGGAAAGTCTGCATTATAAAGACACACTCGATCATTGCATTAATGTTATGTCGGGTGCTTCTTTTCAACCGAAATTCCCCCTTCATGTTTCGTCTACAGATCTCCATTACACTTCATACTATACTGTACTCATTTGCACAGATACCCGGTGTCCATGTCCATGTCTCTCGTCGCTTAGTAGCAAGAATACTGCCATACAAACCTCAACTTATCCGCACTTTGCTTCCTCACATGAAATTTTCTTTTCACATTATCTTAGATATATTAGTGCTTACCTTCCATGTTCGCTTCTCGTCCTCTGGCTTTTGAAATCGCAGTTGACCCTGAAGAATGTCAGATATGTTGGTCCTCTAGATTGTACGGTATCTCAAACAAAGGTGCTACACAATGGAGATAAATTTGGCGCCAGAATTCTGGAAATCAAAGTTAACGATGCCAATTCTTCAGATGAAGAGGGGGGAAATTTAGAATGGGTACCGGTAAGTCGATCTCCAACATGGATCTGGGGTAATGATGAAGAGGCCAAGACCAAATCTAGAGAGTTATAGGGATGGAACAAATATGTATTTGAGAATTTCGGCAATTTCTCTGCAAATCTGCCCAAAAAAAGAATTCGAGCCTGACATCCGCCCTATACATACACGTGAGTTGCACCGTGAGCTTCTCAGTAAGGCTGCCAGCCGGCCAATCACAACCCAGCCCTCCGAATGCTTACATAATACCGGAAGCCCAGCTCTCGAACCTCACAGCGCGCCATAAGACATTGCGATACAAGCTTTACCCCACAGTTTCACCCACACCGCGAAACAATGGCTTCAGGATACGGACTTTCTGGCGGTATGTATATTGCCTCTTTTATAGGACTGTCTGGGGAGGAATTGGGCGTTTGGTGGGACGGCAGCGGACGATTTACCGGACCGAGCGATACGTGTACGACGATTCGATACCATGGACAACTTCGGATGCGATTGCGAGCGACTGTCGACGAATGCGAGAAAAAATATTAGAGGAAGGATGAGTGTTTAGGTGTGGAATTACACGGGCCTATGTCAGGGAGGGTCGGGGCTGAGAGGGATGGATATGCACTCGAAGAGGACGAGATGATAGCATGGTTACGCTCATGACTTGTGGACTTGATGCGCAAGCTCCCGACCGAAGCGAAGGCCCAAATCCGCGCAGGAACCCTCGAGAAGTTGGCTTCGATTGCCAGCTACGTGCCGCCAACTTCTGCCTCCAAGCATCTCCGTTCATTCCGCACTACTTCCAATCCGAGACGTACTTGTAATGCCTGGGACACAATATAATAGGGACATATCTCAATCAGAGGAACATGTGCTGATATGCCACACAAACAACAGGTCCCTCCCGCTGCTTCCCCTTTTGGCAGGAAGTCCTCGCTTGCTATGTCACAAACACCAATTCCGAAGACGAGTCTGGAAAGGCCAAGTGCTCCCCCATCCTCGAGGATTACTACGAGTGTTTGCATCATAAGAAGGAGGTACGTCGTCGGCCAATTTCCTTCCATTACCCCGTCCGCCGAGCCTGGCTACCCATCAGATGTGTAGTATGGGTGTATGAGAGAAGCACAAAGAAAATCACTGACATGAGATGACAGGCTGCACGTACCCTGGCTCTTCAAGCTGCCTACCGCAAGGCCGAAGCCAACATAAAGCGCGACGATGCGCCAAGTGCAGGCGAGATTAGGCGGTTGGGTATTGTGGATGCGACGCTCGAGGAGAAGAATTTGAAGCCGAGCAAGTGGTTTCCTCACAAAGAGATCAACTAGAGTCATAGTCTTGAATCATGAGGGAGAGACTGAATGAATTGGGGGAATGGATGGGGGATGTGTATATCAAGTTGGCTGGGAGGCCAGTCTAGACCCTCATAGGAGTTTGAATGAACAGGGAGGCGCTGAAATTCGAGTAGGTCCAGTGCGTTGATCAAACGACATGCCAGTGTCTGTTTCTTGTGATTGGCATCTCCAGTGCGGGGACGACTTGAGCGGCTTCAGCATCTCACTAACTTTGATCATGTGCAAACTCGACGAACGACAAGAAGACAGAAATGCTGTATGATCGATCGATATGACTTCTTTAACGGGATTGCAGAATTCAAATATAACAGCGGAAACCCTACCCCTCTATCTCCCACAGCCGACACAAACTACGAAATCTCCACTCTTCCCGATGAACCTCATCCTATCCGTCCTCCCTCCCTACTTCCCTTTCATCCCCACAGCCTCAACTGCATACTCTCGTGCCTTCTCCGTCTCCTCAACCCTCCACTCCTCAACATACCCCTCCACCCCCCTCCCACTCCCCTCCGCCGTCACCGGATCCCCCCACGTCCCCCAAAACGGAACCACACCAGTCCACGTACTTGCCACCAACTCCTCATTCTTAAGATCCTTGCGATCCTCCTTGGGCCCGCCGACACGCACCTTTGCGCTCGCAGACACGATGCGGATGCGGAGGAGGCCGGTGCTGGATAGTTCTGCGGGTGTGGGCGGGGTGCGGGATGAGGACCAGCGGGAGGGGAGGAGGGAGTCTGTGATTAGGCGGAGGGCGTAGAGGGATTCGGTGGGGGAGGTTACGGGGTGGGCGTAGCCGTGGGCGATGGCGGAGCGGTAGTTGCAGGAGTTGTGGAAGGGGGTTAGGGAGAGGACTAGGCCGTCTAGGAAACTGGGTTGGGTAAGTTGGTGGGTTTGTTTGTGGGTTGGATATGAGAGAGAGAGAGAGAGAGAGAGAGAGAGGAAGGGGCAGAGTGTGAAATCAAAGGAGAGAACCAAAGTTGAGAGTCCATATGATTCCCATCCCCAACAAACCAAACACCCCCCTTCAAGCACAACATCCAGGATAAAAAAAAAGAAAAAAAATTAAACTTACGACGCCGCAACCGTCATCGGCAACCCCCGTTCTCCCTCCTCACCCTCAGCATCCCCACCCGCCTCCCTCCCCCTCCGAAACATGCGTCCAGAAACATAGCCATGGAGATACAAATCCTGCGGCTCGAGCGCGGGATCCGCCTCTTGGTTTTCAAAGTTGCCGGTACAGCCTAGCATGGGCAACACGACGGGGAAGGGGTGGTCTGCATCGGGGTCGGTGAAGGAGACGTGGAGGATGGGGCAGGTGTTGAGGAGGGTGTGGATGGTGGTGTAGTCGTAGGATCCTGTTGGGGTTTGGATTAGCAGGGGAGGGTGGGTGGATGGGGGGTGGGGAGGAAAGGGATGGGATGGTGGTGTACTCGTGGTTACATGTACCTCTGTTTGCCAGTCTGCCCAGTTTGTTGGTACCTGAAGGCACATCCTAACCCA